GAAAATCAATCCAAATATATTTAAATTGGGAAGGTGGGTGGGGGGGAACCAGCAGGGTCAGCCCTATATATCTTACATACGCTCTAGTCCAAGTGCCTTACATATCTATATAAATAGAGAAGAGTGAGGGGAGTGATGAGCCTGAATCATTGGCTGGTTGGTTTATTTAAGGAAGTTTAACTCCATAGTTTTGAATAGTACAAATTCAATTTTTGCAGGGCTTACCCCCAGACCATTGCCTAGGGCCCAACCAGACAACTGTGCACTTTTCATTAGGTCGGAAATAGTTGGAAGAAATCTACCACTTATCAGCTCAACTACATCATCGGCATATGCGACCGCCTTAATTCGAAGATGGTCGAAATTCACAAGTATTTCGCTAATCACCAGAAGCCAAATAGTGGTGAGAAAACTCCCCTCGGCGGTGTCACTCTGTTGACATTTTTTCTCTGCCACGCACGAATTAATTGTTCGTTTTTTTTTTACCCCACGTCACATATTGGTAAGGGTATTATGCCTTTGTGCATTTGTTTGTAACAACGAAACGGAAACGAGATAAACCTATAGTTACTTTTGAGGATATTCATAAAATCACTTTCTGAGTCGATTTATGCATGCCGTCCGTCACTCCATGTATTTTTGTAAACAAAATGCAGATCGAATTTATTATCCGATTCAAATGAAATTTTGCTAACAAAAGGACGAACCCTATTAGATATAGCTCCCATACAACTTCAACCGATTTCGGGTAAATTATGCACCAAATGGCCAATTAAAGTCCTAATGACCTGAATTTTGGAACATTCCACCGAATTCCGTCTAGAAGCAAGTACATCAAATTTGGTTCATATAAAGCTATAGCTCCCACATACATGTTTCATCCGATTTGGGGTTTATGTTCCTCACATGCGTAATATGCACTCCACAAGAATGACATTTGGTACAGGACATCAGACACTGCCCTGAAACAAGTGTATCACATTTTGTCAAGGTCGGTTCAGATTTGAATATAGCTTCCATATATATTTTCAACCGATTTCGGGTTAATTGTGCACCAAATAGCCAATATCAGTCCAAATTATCACAATTTTGGCCTAGCCGACCGGATTCTGTCTAGAAGCAATTACATTAAATTTGGTGCAAATATAGCTATAGCTCCCATAAATATGTCTCATCCGATTTGTAAGTCTCTCACATTTGTAATATGCATCCGACAACAATAATATTTCGTACCGGATATCTTAAGAGCCCCGAAATGCCTTAGCCAAATTTTATCGAGATCGGATCATATTTGGATATAGCTCCCTTACATATATTCGACCGATTTCACGTTTATTGTGTATCAGATGGATAATGTCATTCCAAATGGAGTGAATTTTGGCATTTCCAACCGAATCCCTTCTAAAAGAATATAGATATAGCTATAGCTGCCATAAATATATTTTATCCGATTTGGTGTTAAAGTCCCTCACATTCGTAATATGCTCTCCTCAACAATGATATTTGGTAAAAGACATTTTATAGTAATCACAAAAATCTCTGCCAAATTTTTTCTAGTCGGCTCAGATTTGGATATAGCTCCAGTATATATCTTCATCCGATTTCACGACATACATCCATTCGATAAAATGGATTATTGTGAAAATGGGTTCAGCCTCTGTCTAGTTTAGCGGAAACCTTTTCACTGTAGGATATACGTTCCACTCTTAACTCACAGTCATAGTTAGTATTATTTACTCCTCATATATTGCGGATAGTTCTACTTCATAAGCAAAGTGGTGTAAGGTATCATAAAGTCGGCCCCGCTCGACTTTTGCCCTTCCTGTACTGACTTTTTCTTTGTAAAGTCAAAATCCTTAAAGATATTAAAAAAACATTCTTGAACCGGAAGTTCTGTAAATTCTCCTCATTGTTGTTAAGAAAATCCTTAAGAAATATTTTTAAGAATCTATCCGAAGTCCCGAAAACTTTTCTCAAAAATCGTTTCAAAGTTCATACACTTATCGATCGATCAATAACAATGTTTTACATTTTGAAACTTTTAGAACTTTTCGTACCATTCCAGTACCGCCCCCTTATCTACCTAAGATTACAATTTTCAAAATATAGGCTTAACTGACTGTTCCATTATAATGTAATAATATTATCATTTTGTACTGTTTGCAATGTTAATGTATGCATTTTCGAAAACTCTGCTACATTACTTCAAGAGTGGCCCTGTCGAAAAATTTAATGCTAAAGCTTTTTTGATCTCTCAATCTACATGATGTACCTTTTTGTACCTCTCGTATCTTTAAAGTTCCAAATACCAAAAAGCTCTGCCTAAGTCTATACCCTTGCCAAGGGCAACCCTCATGTAAAATTTTAAATTTTAAGCTGTTACCAATGATGCAATAGCAATGATGTACCTTTTACTATGTTTCTTGCCCTTAACGTAGGCATTTTCAAACGTATAATTTTTTCTAAATTTCGAATTAATAGCTCATGTAGATCGCCTAATTATAATGATGCATTATTTTGTGTCTTTATAGTCTATATCTTCAAATATCCCTCAACACTGAAACATATCTTTGTGCAAAATATCCAAGTTCTAGGTTTTATCGGTCACCGTCAACCCTTTTGGTGCCTTTTGTACTTTCAACGATAATTCCAGCCTCAGCCGTTTCGTCTAGAAATTAATAGATCACTCAGCCAATCATTCAATATTTTATTAATATGTAGATTGTCTATTATGCTGAAGTTTGGCCCAAAGTTTTATCTATACAAAAAAAATAAAAACTTAGTTTCCTTAAAAGGCCACCTCCAGGCTCTTGAATCGTATCCTGCTCAACTGAATTGCGGCAATTACACAACAAGTAGCAGAACAAAAGAAATGCAGTTTACATTCGACTCATATACAAGCATGTGATGTTTATTTATACATAACATGCTGGTATGTATGTGTGTACGATTGTGTGTGTATATATGTTGGTGGTCTTGTTTATTCCTTTGTTTATGTGTGTGTTTGTTGTTGTGTGCATGTTGTATATTGTTTGCATATGCATTGCTGTTACTGTTTATCAGGATACAGGATGTGTGAATATTAAAGTATCCTCATTTTAAACATCCTGTCCATTGTCCAGTATTTGTACGACAATGACGCCAAACAACAAGTATAGAATTGGAGAAAAGCAACATCAAAAGTACAAGAAACTACATTTATGTTTTTTTTTATTTTATTTGATAGCGCTACAAGGGAGTCTGCGATATATGCAGTTGAATTTCTTATAGCCAGAAATGTTTAACTAGTCAAAAGATTTTTGGAAAAAAATCAATTGTTGTGCTGGGAATTATGTCATAATTCACCGCCCAGATATTACCCTTAGCTTTTTGACAAGGAGCATTTGCCCAATATTTACGCACTCCGTTGTGCTGTTAGTTGTTGTGGTCCATTTTACATTTAAATGTAATCCAATAGTCATCCAAAATAATAGACTTCATCCCTGTCCTTAACTCTCTTCTCATGGAAAAATTCCGTGACGATTGGTTTCAATTGTTTAATCGGGAAAATTTTTCTCTATTTGGTTCATTTGAATCCCTAAACATTTTGCGATCATCTCCAAATTTATCTCATCTATATGACCCATCTATATGACTCGTCTATATGATTTGCTTATCTTCGATTGGCTATATTCGTCAACGAAATCAGCATAAAAAAGCCAGAAGTGTGCCATTTGTGTATTTTGGATTTCGCAAGTTATTTTTACCGTTTCGGTAAAATGGAAATGTTGGTACTTCACACAAGAGAGTAGTCCATTCTGCCTGCTGGCCTAAACTCTGACTTCATGCGGGATTTCATGCCATTTAGTTTTTATTTGTGACCTTTATATCAGCTGCAAAATCGGGATATTTTACAGTTGTTTCATTTCAACCCCTAAATATATTGCGGACATCTTTAAAAACAATAGGCCTAGCCCTTCTGAGCCTAATCCTACCCATTTGAAAATTTTCATGAGGATAGGACGATAATTGCAATTTCTATATAATAACCCCAACCTGTGTGGTAAGGTAAAAAAGTATTATAAAATATACACCTAAATATTGTACGTCAAATTGAAAAATCGCATGCAATAAAATTATGAAAAAAATAAAAAATTTCAAAATACTACAAAATCTATATTAACATCATTATTCGCATCTTTTTATACGATTTTTTTAGATTTTATACTTTTATGCCAAGAGGGCAATCTAAATTAACAAAATTTGTCAAAATCGGTCCACCCATTTATGAGATATATGCATTCCAGCTAACATCTCTTCCTTATATATACACATTGTATATATTTCGCTATATATATCCGATATATTTACTATCGGCATCTACGTAATGGCCAGAATTGACCTGTTCGTCTATTTGGTCTATTTGACCCACTAATTATTACCCGATGAAAATCAAAATTGGAAGGCTTCTTCCCAGCCCTATGCTAACTTCCGCGTCGATTGGTCTATAATAATGTCCTGTAGAGCAACTGCAAAATCAGGAAATTTTCAGTTTTTGTTTCATTTCAACCCCTAAATATTATGCGATCATCTCCAAAAGCAATAGGATTCTATTCTGACCATAACCCCACCTCCATGCAGAATTACGTGAGGATAGGGCCATAATTGCGACCCGTAGCGTGATTACAAATTAACATGGATAGACGGACGAGATAGGAATATATACTTTCCTATGCAAGAAACCAATATTTCGAGGTGTTACATAATTTTTAGTCCAATAAAACTTATAATACCCCCAACAAATAGTGTTGTGGGTATAAAAAACTAACTATTATCACACCAAGAAATGAGTTATGGCTGCACAGAGTGAGCATGCCCGACTTCAAAACCTAATTTGTGAGCACTTTGAGTATTTATTTTAAAATGATTAAAATTCTAAGCATAGAAACCATAGGTAATTTTTTTTTTTTTTTTTTTTTTTTGAAAATGTTGAAACATATTGACATTCGATACATGAATTTTGAATTGATCGGTACAAAGTCGAAAGCATATTCATATAATTTGAAAAAAAGGTTGACAAAATGAATTATCTGCAACAATTTTAATTTTCCATAAGATGCATCTATATGCATTTGCTGCATTTCATTATGATATCGATTTCAACACATGCTATACCCCAACCATCAAGGATTTACTAATAAAATCTTCAAGCGCTTGATGGAGATGATGCTGTAATCAGTGAGTATTAAATAAAATATATATTTGAAAGCTTCTATATCATATAAATTGTGTTGGGAGATCATATCAATGAAGACTTTATGCAATTTAGTATTACTTTTATTTTACCCTCAGCCATATGACTATTATCATTATAACCTACACCACAAAGTGGATGTCTTTGTGCATTTGCTTGTAACATGGAGAAGGAAGCTTGATGGGCCCATATTCACTTTTGAGAATCTTCATAGAATCACTTTCGGAGTCGGTTTATGCATGTCAGTCCGATTTATGCAGGTCATATTTATTATCCGATTGATATGAAATTATCCAAACAATATCTGTTTGGCCCACGGACGAACCATATTTAAATTGGTGAGAATCGGTTAAAATTTACATATATCTCCCATATATATCTTCAACCGATTTTAGGTTGACTTTGTACCAAGTGGCCAATATCAGTCCAAATGTCCTGAATGTCGGCATATCCGGCCGAATTCCGATTTTACGGTTATTGTCCACCATATACTTAATATCAGCCCAAATTGGATAGATTTTTTTTATATTCAACCGAATGTTTAATTTGACTTACAATATTGAAGGGTATATTTTGTAATATTTTTTTCAACTTACAATACAGATTGGGGTTATTATATACAGATGTCTGCTGTATATTTAAGGGTTGAAATGGATCAACAAATAAAAATGTTACTGATTTTGCAGCCGTTGATCTATGACATAATTTCAAAAGAAAAATCTTTCAAAATGAATTTCGACACAAGAAGACTTCAAACATATTGTATTGTTCTATCACATGGTCGGCCCTGCACAACTATAGCCTTTGCTTACTTGTTATACCCTCCACCAAAAAAGTATGGAGGGTATATTAAGTTCGTCATTCCGTTTGTTACTCATCGAAATAATCATTTTAGACCCAACAATGTATATATATTCTTGATCAGCGTAAAATTCCAATATTCGGTATTTTGATGATTTTATCAACATTTTTCAACGAAATTGTCTGAAAATCTACACAAGGAGTTCCTTGTGGGTACTTTATACCTCGACAGAGAATTATCTATATAGGTCCACGATATCGTATAGCCCCCATATAACGGTACCGCCCAATATTCGGTATTTTGATGATTTTATCCACATTTTTCAACGAAATTGTCTGAAAATCTACACAAGGAGTTCCTTGTGGGTACTTTATACCTCGACAGAGAATTATCTATATAGGTCCACGATATCGTATAGCCCCCATATAACGGTACCCCCGATAATCGGGATTTTGATGATTTTAGCCACATTTCCCAATGGAATTATCTGAAAATCCACACAAGGAGTTCCTTGTGAGTACTTTACCCCCAGACATAGATTTGTCTATATAGGTTCACAATAGCGTGTATCCCCCATATATCGGCACCTTCCGATATTAGGTATTTTAAAGATTTTAACAGAATTTTCAATGGATTTTATATTTTCTAATTCGTTCCAAATGGTGGAGGGTATTCAAAGTTCGGCCAGGCCGAACTTACTGCTTTTTTACTTCTTTTTAATATAATTCTTATCGAAGTCATATCATGCACTATACAGCAATGTTATTTGATACTAGAGGTACAAAAACCTCCGTCAATTTTTTTAAAAATCTATTCAGAGTTGGATATAGTTCCCAAATTGTGACTACTCTTAAGTCATGATACGTATACAAATAAGGTTCACAGTCGGTATGATCTACTTTACATAAATTGCAAATATAAACTTTTTTGTTACGGAAGCTCTACTAAATAGAGGTGTAGGGAATCACATGGTCGTCCCCGCCCGACTTTTGACCTTTTCTTATTGGTTTTATATGGTCAAAACGTGCCTCATCGAAATAGGCCCTGGGTCTCTTGGGACCAAATCCGTTTCAGGACATTTGGGGTCGATCTAGGGGTGTCCGTCCGTCCATCTGTCTTACTGGCTGGAATCCGACTTGGTCTGAATTTGATACATAGTAATATGATCATCAAACCTAGATCGAGTTCCGAGATGGAATCTATTACCCCCACAAAGAAAATAATTAACCTCATAGAACAAAAAGTATCATCCCTTTTAAATTTGTTACCTCTAAATATTCATCGTAGACCCCGAATGGCCGTCTGTAACTCCTCTAAATAAGAATACATAATCATGATCAGGATAAAATTCTAATTCGATTTAACGGTACCACCCGATTATCGGTATTTTGATGTTTTTTGGTATTAAGGGTTTGTAATATGTTCTACTTCTGGCGGCTGAACATAGTCTGTATAGGTCCATGTTTTCCTATAGCCCCCATACAACGGCACCTCCTCAAATTTGGTATTGAGAGCTTTTAACGTGTTTCACTTTCGATAGCAGAACATTGTGTATACAGATTCACGTTTTCGTATAGCCCCCGTACAACAGTACCTTCCGATATTCGGTATTTTCATCAATTTAGACCCATTTATAAAAAGAATTGTTTCAAACTTGGTGTTAAAAGTTTAGTAAAACCCATTATACTTCTGGTGGACGAACTTAGTCTGCATAGGTCCACGTTTTCCTATAGGCTCCATATCACGGTACCTCCTGATATTTAGTATCTTGGCAAATTTAGAACACATTTTCTATCGGATTAGTTGGTATACATAGTAAAGTTAGTGCACATGTTCATAACTACTTCCTTATAACAAATTTACTTCACAAAACTTATAATAAAAAAATTTTAAATTTCTCATAATTACAACTGGTACCAAATTTAGTGAATTTTATACTTTTGACCTATATTATTCGAGTTTTCTAAAACCCATTCGCCAATCACACACACCATCAAAGATTCTTAATACAATTTACGGATTTCAAGCTTTATCTCTTCTTCAAATACCATTTTGTACTTTTCGTACTTATATAGTACATATATCCAAAAGTAAATCGCAACTCAATTCTATACATCCCCTCGCCCAAACTCAAATTGTACTAATTTTAGTACCAATTAGTTCAGTTATTACATTTAGTACACTTTTCCACCATACATCCACTTTCCCAACTCAATTGTAACAAATATCAAGATTATTTAGCTCAATTTGTTCACATAATACCAAATTGTTCCAAATTTAGTGCTTTTTATTGCTTCCACAAAACCTTTGGTACATCTATCCTACAGTGTCTCTCATTCCACATTTGACAACATGGGATATCATTTAGTTTTTTAAAGGTGGCTTTCAGTTCGAATTTCCGAAATTGGCGTCTATCCTACTTCCGTGAATCAATAGTGAAAAACATTTGAAATTTTACGATTTTTTCCACCTGCCAATCTTTGTCACAGCATGTGGAATATCTCATATAAGTACATGATGTATTTTTATGCCCTCCACCATAGTATGGAGGGTATATTAAGTTTGTCACTCCGACAAAGTATATATATTTTTGTTAAGCATAAAATTGTAAGTCGATTTAGCGATGATAAAATTTTTTTCAAATGTTTATTATGTCTGCAGGACTTTTGGTATTGAAAATGGTCCACGTTGTGGTATAGCCACCATATAATGGTACCTCCCTATTTTCGGAATTTTGATGATTTTAGCTACATTATTCACCGGAATTGTACCAACTTTGGTATTTGAAGTTCGAAATGGATACTACAGCATATACCAGAAAATTGTCTGTGCGGGTCAACGCCTTCGTAAAGCCCCGAAATCGCGGCACCCCCGATATTCGGTATTTTGATGATGTTAGCGACATTATTCACCGGAATTGTTTCAAATTTGGTATTTGAAGTTTGTAATAGATATTACACCCTATAACAGAAAATTGTCTGTGCGAGTCAACGTCTTCGTATAGCCCCTATATAAATGTACCTCCCGATATGATTTTTGATGATTTTAGCGACATTATTTACCAGAATTGTTTAAAATTTGGTATTTGAAATATGAAAGAAAATTGTCTACACAGGTCCACGTCTACGTATAGTCCTTATATAACGGCACCTCCCGAGATTCGGTTTTTTTGATGATTTTAGCGGCAATATTCACAGGAGTTGTATACAATTTTTCGTAATGGATACTACAGCCTTTAACAAAAATTGTCCGTGCAGGTTCACGTCTTCGTAACGCCCCAAATAGCGGCACCTCCCAATATTCGGTATTTTGATGATTTTTGGCGACGTTATTCACCAGAATTGCTTCACCGGGGGCCTTCGTAAGGCACCTCCCGATATTCGGAATTGTATTGAATTTGGCGACATTATTCACCGGAATTGTTTTTAATTTGCTATTTGAAGTTCGTAATAGATACTACAGCCTAAGACAGAAAACTGTATGTGCAGGTCCACGTCTTCGTATGGCTCCCATATAAAGTTACCTCCCGATATTCGGTATTTTCATGATTTCAACGACATTATTCGCCGGAATTGTTTCAAATTTGCTATTTGAAGTTCGTAATAGATACTACAGCCTAAGACAGAAAACTGTATGTGCAGGTCCACGTCTTCGTATGGCTCCCATATAAAGTTACCTCCCGATATTCGGTATTTTGATGATTGTAGCGACATTATTCACCGGAATTGTTTAAAATTTGGTATTTGAAGTTCGCAACTAGTACTAAATCCTTAGACAGAAAATTGTTTGTGCAGGTCCACGCCTTCGTATAGCCCCCATATAACGGTACCTCCCGAAAAGTTCGGCCGGGCCGAACTTACAGCTTTTTTACTTGTTTTGGTTTTGCCTCGATGTATATGAACCAAATAAATGTCTCTCTCCACTCCCTACTAAAATTCTTTTCTTATTTTGACCAAAACTTCTTTTCTTTTGCGTTTCCGCATTTTTACGTAAGGAATAAAAAAAATTGTCCTTGGGCCCCATTTTGTACCACAACATATGGAATATCTCATATCATATATACAATATTTTTTACTTTATCTCCAGTTACATAAACAATGAATTCTATATTTTGGTCATTGTACCTTCAAAGATTTACAAACACACTCACACACACTTATGAACCCACAACTACAATATTTGTCCATTCCTGCCTTTTCTCTGTGATTACTTATGCAAGAAATGCATCCTTTTTCCTATTCATGTGCAGCATTTAATTATCTCTTTATTTAACAAATTTAATTACTATTCATTCACAACAACAAACACAAAAAATGCTGTTGTAAAAAAGGACATTCAGACAACAGTCTACCACACACAAATACATACATAAATGTGTGTATGGCTGTGTATGATAAGCTCAGACATACAGATATGATGACTTAAAAGCTTTTAGCATTTGTATTTGCTGTTTATGTGAATGTGTATTGTTGTCAGGACTAACTGTCTATGTGTGGGTTTGTATGTGTGTGTGTGCGTGTTTGCTAAAAGGAAATATTTATTATTCACAAAATATAAAAGAATATTGTTATTGCATTTGTTTGCTGGCTTGCTTGTGTGCCCTTTTGTAGGATGTGCTGTTTTCTTTTCGTCTCTCTTCTCTCCATTCTTGCTTTTCATTTGTTTTTCCGTAAATTAAAACGACACAAAATGAAAATTTCCATTACAAAAGCTGTGACAGAAGATCTTTAAGCCATAATCACATCGTAAATGTTAAAGATAACCACAGATGACAATGGTTGTCAAAATGTTTTTTTTTTTTTTTGTGTTTCCATTTTGATTTGATTGAATTTTTATGAGAATTTGGGG